AGTATAGAGAAGTGAAAAATACTATGAACCACTTAATCTTTACTCTCTTTGAGAACTCCGTGTATGTATTTTGATGATTTCAACGAACAGGTAAATTAAAAGCTATACAATTTCAAGATTAAATGAGAAAAATTGATTATAAATAGATAAATTAAATAATGATATATTAGTAAACGAACAAAACATTTACATTCTCAATAAACAAACATGACTATAATTTGGGACAAGAAAATATGAAAAGTTATCATATATAAATGGGACAATGAAGTAGTATTTATTTAAATGGTAATGCATTTGATGCCATTATTAATCTTGATAGTGCCACATTATTTTGAAGGCATCTTCCAATACTTCTCAAATTTGGTGCATATTCCAATTCAAGTGTATAATATAAACCGAACATGTCATGTTCATTGATAGATCTTATCGCTGAATGAACTCTGAAAAAGACAATTCCATTGTGAAATTAGATCCATTGACAGATTTTTTAAGCCCTTTGTGTCCCAATCCACACCATTTCACATCAATTCTTTACCATAGCTTAACTTAGCCGCAACTTCATACAATATTCTTCTCTACTCCATATTTCTTCGTTTCATACTTCTATTCAAAAATCTCAGAATACGACGGACAAAGAATTTTTTTACTTTAATTTAGTATTTGTTTGGAAGATTTTTTTAAATTTATACTCTTCAAAATTACTTTCAATCATACATTCTAGAAACATATTATTTTTCACTTGAAAAAATCTCTCATAAACAAATGTTTTATAAATAAATAGCGATAAGATTTAAACTCAAAACATAATATTAAGGGCATGTTTGTTAGATCTTATGTTTATCGTCAAACTATTTTTTGAAAAAAGTTACTTTAGATAACCTTCTTTCGATAGACTTTCTAGCAAGAAAAGATGCATTTAAAAATTTATTCAAATATATTCAAAAGTAATTTTCTTAATTTTAAATATAACTTTTTGACTTTTATTTATTTAAGTTAACCCTCACTAACTTCAATTAGGCAACAGTCGTTTATATTTATGTAATTACTAGTGCCTTCTCCTCCCGCCAATTGGTCAACTGTCTGTCTTAACTTCCCAAGGGACTCAGAGCATAAACTGTTCACCAAATTCCAATTTCAATCAAATAGCAAAGTTCTTTCAATTGACATCCTCCAAAAGAAAAAAAAAATTAGAAAAACCAAAATTCAGATTTCGAACATGGGTTTTAAGAACACTCTCAGATTTTTAGCGTTCTTGTGCTTTCGTATGTGTTTCTTTGTTTCGATCGATGCTCAGGTTCCAATTCCACCAAAGCTAGATGGGTTCTGGTACGAGAACCGACCGTCGGAGGCTGACTCGATATTCATCGAGGCGTTTTTTGACCCAGTTTGCCCCGACAGCAGGGATTCATGGCCGGGTCTTAAACAAGCCCTCCACCACTATGGCTCTCGCGTTACACTCCTTGTCCACACCTTCCCTTTACCGTAAGTTTGTACTTTCTATTTCTGGAAATAAAATGATTAGCTCAGTTTAATTACATAAATGTTCGATTCTTGAATCTTGATGGCGTTTTACTTTCTTGTTCAGTATGCAATTGATGGGCAGTAATTATTTTGATCTGTTTATGTTAACTGTGTTTTGTAATGGAGTATTTCTTGGGAACCCTTTAAATTTTAGAAAATTTAACAAATATGTGAATTATTCTGCCATACATGTATTTGTGTCATCTATTATACATAGTTATACGAAGTAATTTTAGGGGCGCATTTTTGTGTACTTTGCATATTTTCTTATTGCTTTTCAGATTGTTATCGCTTTTGATAGTATTGGGGCTTAAATTGTAACATTCTCGTGATTAAATTACCGTAATTTCTTGGTTGCATAAGAGTTTTGTTGATATTAAATGTCCTTGCACACCATTCATGTAAAGATTACAATCACTGGATGAGATCATTCAGAGAATTGGATTGTTTTTTTGTGAATAATGTAGAAGTAGTAGGTGAAGTTGTTAAGGAATGGAAAAAATGCACTTCTCCTCCAACTTGGCCTCTGTTCGGGGGTTTCATTTTTTCATTAATAATTTACTTTTCAAGAAATGAGTGCTGAATAAGGAGGTAGTACTTGTTGTCCTAAAAATGTGTGGTTAAAATTAAATTTTGATTTTGAAAATTAACATTTTAGAAATAAAAATGAAATCCAAACATAGGCTTAACCAATATTATGCTCTTTTTCTTTGTTGATGTAGCAATTGATGGATAGAGACACGAGTTTCAAAATGATATGCATTGGGTATACATGTTCAGTTTCTTGGAGATTGGCTGATGTTTTTCTTTTGAAAATTTCAGTTACCATGACAATGCTTTTGTTTCCTCCCGTGCATTGCATATAGTCAACAAGTTAAATTCTTCAGCCACCTACGATTTATTGGAGGCGTTTTTCCAGCACCAGGTGAGATTGATTTTGTATTAGAAGTGTATAGATCTCTTGCTGAAAGGGCTAAACAGACCTTGCATGAACTCTACCTCTCTACAATGACAAGCTGATGCAGTTCTTCACCTCTTCTATGTGGTTTAGGCATGGCTACTTCTTTGCTTTTTTCTGTGGCTACTTTGCTTTTTCTTGCTTTGGTTGGCTCTCTCTGGCATCTGGAATTTGATCTATTGTAAATTAGTTTTTCATGTTGAGTTCTATTAATTTGTGATTTAAGAGTTCTATTCTGTTCTCATTTTTTATGCATCAATGACTTTGTGCTTCCGTCAACCGTTCAATGAATATGCCATACTTTTCTGTTACAGTGCACTGTAATTTTTTAATTTAGTATTTGTTTGGAAGATTTTTTTAAAGTTATGCTCTTCAAAATTACTTTCAATTATACATTCTAGAAACATATTATTTTTCACTTGAAAAAATCTCTCATAAACAAATGTTTTATAAATAAATAGCAATAAGATTTAAACTCAAAACATAATATTAAGGACATGTTTGTTAGATCTTCTGTTTATGGTCAAACTATTTTTTAAAAAAGTTACTTTAAATAACTTTCTTTCGATAGACTTTCTAGCAAGAAAAAATGCATTTAAAAATTTATTCAAATATATTCAAAAGTAATTTTCTTAATTTTAAATATAACTTTTTGACTTTTATTTATTTAAGTTAACCCTCACTAACTTCAATTAGGCAACAGTCGTTTATATTTATGTAATTACTAGTGCCTTCTCCTCCCGCCAATTGGTCAACTGTCTGTCTTAACTTCCCAAGGGACTCAGAGCATAAACTATTCACCAAATTCCAATTTCAATCAAATAGCAAAGTTCTTTCAATTGACATCCTCCAAAAGAAAAAAAAAATTAGAAAAACCAAAATTCAGATTTCGAACATGGGTTTTAAGAACACTCTCAGATTTTTAGCGTTCTTGTGCTTTCGTATGTGTTTCTTTGTTTCGATCGATGCTCAGGTTCCAATTCCACCAAAGCTAGATGGGTTCTGGTACGAGAACCGACCGTCGGAGGCTGACTCGATATTCATCGAGGCGTTTTTTGACCCAGTTTGCCCCGACAGCAGGGATTCATGGCCGGGTCTTAAACAAGCCCTCCACCACTATGGCTCTCGCGTTACACTCCTTGTCCACACCTTCCCTTTACCGTAAGTTTGTACTTTTTATTTCTGGAAATAAAATGATTAGCTCAGTTTATTTACATAAATGTTCGATTCTTGAATCTTGATGGCGTTTTACTTTCTTGTTCAGTATGCAATTGATGGGCAGTAATTATTTTGATCTGTTTATGTTAACTGTGTTTTGTAATGGAGTATTTCTTGGGAACCCTTTAAATTTTAGAAAATTTAACAAATATGTGAATTATTCTGCCATACATGTATTTGTGTCATCTATTATACATAGTTATACGAAGTAATTTTAGGGGCGCATTTTTGTGTACTTTGCATATTTTCTTATTGCTTTTCAGATTGTTATCGCTTTTGATAGTATTGGGGCTTAAATTGTAACATTCTCGTGATTAAATTACCGTAATTTCTTGGTTGCATAAGAGTTTTGTTGATATTAAATGTCCTTGCACACCATTCATGTAAAGATTACAATCACTGGATGAGATCATTCAGAGAATTGGATTGTTTTTTTGTGAATAATGTAGAAGTAGTAGGTGAAGTTGTTAAGGAATGGAAAAAATGCACTTCTCCTCCAACTTGGCCTCTGTTCGGGGGTTTCATTTTTTCATTAATAATTTACTTTTCAAGAAATGAGTGCTGAATAAGGAGGTAGTACTTGTTGTCCTAAAAATGTGTGGTTAAAATTAAATTTTGATTTTGAAAATTAACATTTTAGAAATAAAAATGAAATCCAAACATAGGCTTAACCAATATTATGCTCTTTTTCTTTGTTGATGTAGCAATTGATGGATAGAGACACGAGTTTCAAAATGATATGCATTGGGTATACATGTTCAGTTTCTTGGAGATTGGCTGATGTTTTTCTTTTGAAAATTTCAGTTACCATGACAATGCTTTTGTTTCCTCCCGTGCATTGCATATAGTCAACAAGTTAAATTCTTCAGCCACCTACGATTTATTGGAGGCGTTTTTCCAGCACCAGGTGAGATTGATTTTGTATTAGAAGTGTATAGATCTCTTGCTGAAAGGGCTAAACAGACCTTGCATGAACTCTACCTCTCTACAATGACAAGCTGATGCAGTTCTTCACCTCTTCTATGTGGTTTAGGCATGGCTACTTCTTTGCTTTTTTCTGTGGCTACTTTGCTTTTTCTTGCTTTGGTTGGCTCTCTCTGGCATCTGGAATTTGATCTATTGTAAATTAGTTTTTCATGTTGAGTTCTATTAATTTGTGATTTAAGAGTTCTATTCTGTTCTCATTTTTTATGCATCAATGACTTTGTGCTTCCGTCAACCGTTCAATGAATATGCCATACTTTTCTGTTACAGTGCACTGTAATTTCTATCATGATGTCCTTTGATTACTACCTGATATTGTACCATATTTCATGGTAGCTTGAGCATTGCCTTTGTTTCTTGAAAATATTTCTCAATTTCCTTAAATCACTTCTACTTCCACTACTTCAGAAACAAGGAATCCTAAATACATAACTCTTGGCCTATGGATTGAATTTAAAGGAGAGTTAAATTCTACAAGAGGGTATCTTAAATGTGTGTTGTAGTTTGTGGAATTTTTATATGTTGGCCTCCAAGGACGTATGCATACACGCCATGTAACGAGCTGCGATGTACAAGGATGAATTAAAAAATTGTTCATTCTGAGTTTTCTCACTACTCTCAAATGCTCTCTTATTGAACTTTTGGGATAGTAATTAGTATCTTGAATTCTCCACAAAGTATTGAGTTAAACCAATTGATCTAGAATATATGGCCACATGTGGATCATTAAAATAATTTTTAAAATGCACTCATGTGTAGGGTTCATCTTTACAACCAGAACCTAACACGTGCACGATTTACTTGAACTCAGAATCTTTATGTGTTGTGATACCATACTAAATCACTTGATCTAAAGTCTCACACAATGGTTCATGTCCCTTGATTTATGACTTTGTTGGGTCGTATGCTTCTAGAACAACACACATTTTATCAGGATAACATAACATTTCATAGTGAACATGATTATATTTCAATGACTTTAGCTTTACTAATGTATGCACCCTATCTTTGTGATGTAATTGTACATTATAATCCTTGCACATTATTATTACAGTGTCACCTAATTATTATATTATTAAATTTTATTGGTTTGGAAGCTGAAATTCTGAGATTGTTGAACAGGAAAAATTCTATGGTGTAGCAACCTCTAACATGTCTAGAGCAAAGGTTAATGATCAAATTGTGAAGTTTGTAACGATAGCAGTTGGAACCTCTTATTATTCTGCAATAAAATCTGGCTTGACTGACTCCAAAACAGATCATGCAACGAGAATTGCCTTCAAGGTAATGCTGTATTTGTATATCTCGCTTTGTGTTACCATTATTGGACAAAATTGACATCATTATTCCTGGGAGAGAGAGGCTCACTCTCTGAAGAGAGTTCGAGTTAGGGTGGCCTTATTGGTTCTTCGAAACCGCCCCCACGGGATTAAATGTATATCTTTTGATTTCTTGTTAAATGATGATTTGCAGGGGTTGCTTATTTTTCATGGCAGTTATTTCTTTTTATTGTTTCAGCTTAAGAACTCCTATATCCAATCTTACTGTCTTGTTTTCACAGTATGGTTGCTCACGAGGGGTTTACGGGACGCCTATTTTCTTTGTAAATGGATTTGCCTTACCCGATAAGGGTTCACCTCTAGACTACCAAGGATGGAAAGGAATCATTGATCCGTTACTAGCGAAGAAGGTGGAGATTGCTGAGGAGCCTCCTGTACATTTCTTCCTATGAGTAAATTGCTCTGTGATTTATTTTCCTCGTGTATTCATTCATGTTGGTTTGTATGAAGACAAAAAATATTTGTTTTTAATTTCCAAATAATGCTAAAATTTGTGGAAATTGCCTGAAAGAATATATCCTTCTGGCCTTGAGAGAACACTAGGGTAATTTTGTCACAGTTGATCCTTTCTGTCG